GATTATTTTTAGACTTTAATAAGGGCGATAGGATGATTGCAGAGTCCGCAGAATCCTCGTAGTACCAACAGCGCCTGTGGCATCAGCGCCGGGTTGTTGCCAGTGCACGCACCCTACAACCGCACTGCCCGAGACAAGAAGGATGATTTGTTAAGCCAGTGGCGTATCAGGACGAAAATTCTTGTTTCCTATCCGCAACCAAGTTTTGACAAGAAGTACGTATTTGTTTTCTGCGTGCAAAGCAGGCCATTCACCAAGTTTGTTCCCGAATAGAATCCTACCATTACAGTCCCTCTGCCTTGCGTTCACAGCAGAGGCACGATGTACATCTCCTGTGGTATATTTTGAAACCCTGGTGTAAGTCCAACCTCAAACAATCTCTCAATAGGACCAAATCCTACAGTGAAGCCAAGATCCCGATCATCAACTGATTCCTCCGAGGCTTCAAGCAGCGAAAAGGGTTAAAGTATGGCGTGAATTCGCGTTGCCAAAGCTGATTTCCAGGTAATTTCGCTTGCGCTTAATATAACAAGTTCGCTGGCTTGTCTTCATGAAATCGGAAGCACCATGGCCAAGGTCACATTGTCAGCCTCAGTAAAGCAAGCGTGATGTTTCTCCCACTAGAATACATAAGAACATCGAAAACATAAGCACAAGACAGGGAAACATCGTCACACACCCTCCGCTCTCGAGTGCCGCAACTTCTGGATCATCCCTACCCATTTAAAAGGCACCAGCGTTCCAAAAGCATTCGGCTCACGGGAAGTCTGATCGCCATGTTGTGATGGGTGCGACGGCTGCCCCTTGGCATCAGCAGACTACGGTGATAGTAACATTTAGATCTCACTATAGCTCACTTTGTCGCAAAACTGCCTACTCATTTTGCCATAAGAGGGATGCTTTAATTTACTAATATAAGTCAACTGAGTCCTGATGAAAAGGATTGTCATGTTCAACACTTGCCGTTTGCCTCGATTTGAGGTCCCCACCAAGCTCGCGGTGCCCGGTTCCTCGGAAGACTTCAGCACGGAAGGCACTGCTGCTGCCGGTAATGGATTCTTCAGCAGTGGTGGTGTTACCTCTAATCTGCCACCACCGACAGTTGCACTTTCAGCCTACTTTGTTAACAGCCCATACATCAGCGGTCGTACTCATCTCGTCTTCAATCTCGTCTACGTCCGTACCAACATCTCCGCCTTCTCTCGTGACGTTGCGTCAGTGACTTAC